TTTGAATAAAAGATTATAATTTTACAATTATTATAAAATACATCTATAGTGATTTTGCACCTATTATATATATATTTTTTATTTTTTAAAATTTTTTAAGTTTTTATAAGTTTTGTATATAAAATTTTAAAATTTTTAATACCAATGTTAAAAGTTAATATTAAAGTTAAGATTAGGATTTGGGATGGGTTTTTGAAGGTGTAAAATATTTTACTTGGAATATTAGTTTTTGAAATAATATATACATAGGTATAAAACTCCATAGGTGCATTTTAGTAAAATTTATATATAATTACAAATTTTAATTTTTATTTATTTAATTAATAGTTCATTTATAATTAGTACTGTTTTTATAGTAAGAATTAGAACAAATAAATGTTCTATAGAATAGATAAATAATATAAAAAATAAGCTTTACTAATGATTAGTAATAATTAATTTTTTAATAGCAGAATTGCAGAGTTTGCCCACCTATTCTATAGAACATCTGAACAAAATTTTATATGAGTTTTATAATAAAGTAAAATCTGATATTAGCTAGCAAGCCAGAAATTTATTTTGATTGGTTGTTTATTTTTATTGAAAAAACAATATTATACAAATTTTTTATATTGTTTATAATAGAAAAATAGATCTGTAAATAGCAAGAAAATTTTTTTTATAATTAGATTAATCTGGAAATTTTGCAAGATTATAATTTAAAAATATATTTTTTATATAAGCATTGGAAATTGAATAAGATCAAATGTTTCTACCAACTTTAATTAAAAGCAATTTAGACCATAGTTATGTTTAATATGAAGTCCTTATATTAAGTTTTTGGCATTTAAAACAAAATAACTAAGATAAAATACCTTTTTTTTGAAGTTAAAATTTTGAATTTCACGTAAACAAGTTACTATTGTGAAAGATTATAAAAGATTATCAAATACTATATAGAGCTATAAGTGTAATGATAGTGGTAGTATCAAAAATCATTCTTTAATTTTAGCCAATCAGAATCATTAATGATCAGCCAATAAAAACAAATTTCCATCTTGCTGCATTAGCTCAAAGCAAAGTCTTTCTTTTATTAAATTAACCTTTCTTCAAGCTCTAACAAAAGTTGTAAAGCTCTTTTTATGATTTTAATGATAGTAAAATCATCAAATTTGACCTAGTGATTCTTGAGATATTGTAACTTGTAACTTTTTTTTCTTCACACATATAAAACTTTGCAATATTGTAAAGAAGTTTTATATGTGCGAAGAAAAAAAAATTATAATATCTCAAGAACCATCAGGCCAAATTTGATAATTTTACTACCATTAGAATCACAAAAAGAGCTCTACAACTTTTGTTAGAGCTTGAAGAAAGGTTAACTTACTAAAAGAAAGACTTTGCTTTGGCTAATGCCAGATTCCACTCTATTATAAAACTCATGAAATTTGCCCCAATTTTTATTATAATACTAATATAGCAATAGTGCTGATTTTATCTGAATTAGCAATTAAGTTAAAAAGATTTTTAGCTTAAAGTTTATAGTAAATTTATATAATTTTTATTATATACTACATTTTGAACCTTTATAAGAAAAGTCTATATTTACACTTCCTTTCAAAAACATATACAGCGCTCTATGTCTCTTTTTTTTAGATTGATTCCAATAAGCCCAAAGCTTCAAATAAGTGTTATATAAACACATCCAATGCAATAGAACATTTCTTTTTACTTGTCACATGTTACTATACATATTGGAGTAAATGAACGACAAAATGTGGTCGATCGAAGACGTTCACCAAACTAAACAATAAATTCCTATCACTTAATGGCACTTTACTGTATATCTGTATTTGAGTGTGATTAATTTTTTTTCAAACTTTATATCATAGTAAAGCTTATAAATGAAGCAAAAAAATTGCAATTATTTTCATCATTAATTGGTTACAATAACAATTTCAAGCATAATAATTGGGATGCAATTAATTTTCCGGTACTCCTACTATAAAGATCCTCAAGCCAGTGTCTTTTGACAAGGAGTGTTCGTACGTAAATTTTTATAACCGATAATAATTGTTGATTTACTACATGGGAATTTAAAATTCCGAAGATCGGGTCATAGTACGGTAAAATTTTTCAAAGAGGAGGAAAGTAGATTTCACCTTAAAACAGTATGTAGAACAAATATCAACATCACTAGATATTCAAAATAAAATTGTTTATAAATGAAGTTAATCTATCCTATTTAAGTTGAAGTGAGTGTGAAAACTATATTAACCCTGGATTGAACCACACGTGTCTTAATATACAAAATGATGATTATGACGATTAAAAAGAGATTAGCAAGAACAAATTCTTTTGAAGGATTATTAGATCATTTCCTTATCGCTTCATCGCTTGAAAAGCCCGAAAATGAACTTTAAAATCCCATAAAACGTTTCAAGTTCAGGTCCAATAATTGCATGTGAATGAATGAATTAATGAATGGAAAGTGATAAACCAGGACATTAATTACTAATTCTTGTTGATAGGTTAAAAACATTACCATAATTTTTAACTGTGTAGATATTGAATGTCAATATCATTATCAACTTGTATATCATATGATCGATATTTATTTGACCTAAATTAGATTTTCATTTGTGCATGGTTGGCGTGGCTTTATTTAGATCAGAGCACGCGAGATGGTCAGTGAACCTTACATAAAATATAAATAGATTTAAGATATAAATTAAGTGATTATTATGGTTTTTTAAAGTGATAAACTATTTAATCTAACGTACTGTACGTGCGTACGTGCGTACGCAAGTGTGTGGATAGATACGTAGGTAGGTAGGTACTACGTAGGTACATTCCTAATATTTGATACATTGGATCAGAAGAAATGCCGGATTTACCTAATAGGTGGGATTAAAAGATAATTTTTAGAAAGTGTGTAATCTTAAATGGTAAATTGAAGTTAAATGAGATAAATAAAGTAAGTAAAGTAAATTGAAATTTTAGTATATAGTAAGAACCACGAGGTTGTCATATATCTAAACGGGTTAATAATTACGGTATGATTTAATAAGTAAAATCAATTTCTTTAATGAATCTAACGACGACAGCCTATTTCATATGTTGTCTAACCGATCACGGAAATAATTAACATTGCATAATTAAAAGTTTCGATCTTTATTTGCTCGGTTAATCAATACGACACTGTAGATTATGTTTGTGGAGAATGAATATAAAAATTTAATATAGTTCTCGGACTAATTACCATGTTTAGAAAAACAAAATGAGATTACTTAACATATTATGTCATTTAGTAAAAAATTTTTATCGTCGTACTTTTTCTGGAAAGTTTGTTTCCCCGAAAATATGCTAGTTGCTAGTTAAATGTCAGGTGATCAACTCTTGCATACTGCAGGTGTGGAACAAACGTTAATTCACTATCTTATATTTGACTTCTATTAACTTTCTATATCGATACGATGTTATCGATATGGTTTATCGCTACAATACTGTCGATACGGTATTATCGATATGGTATTATCGTTATGATATTTTATATTACGTACTGATATTACTGTAAATTTCTTTATATCGATACAATTCTCTAATGTTTATGATTAAATTAATTACAGAATTACTATAGAGAAATTTTTTTTTAAAAAAAAAAAATTATTAAATTACTATAACTGACAAAAAGAATCTTGTAAAAAAATTTATCTTAAAAAAAAAGATTATAAAATATTTAAAGTGTTTTAAAAAAAAAGTATTAACAGAAAGTCATATATATATATATATTTTTGTATCTTTTATCGCTTTTATCGTTTTTATCGAGGCAAATCGAAAAGAATATTTAAACTTTTGTCTATTAACAGCTATCGTTGTTTAAATTATCTACCTTTTTGCAAGTAATTAGAGAGATCGCATTTTGGGAAATTATGATTTTAACAATTACTATATTTGAAAGTTTTATCGTATTTTTTGAAAAAAAAATTTTTTAAATCATTCATCATTTATGATTTTGTCTATGAAAAATATTTTTGATTAAAAAAAAAAAAAAATTTGGATTAATTTTAAATAAGATTCATACAATCAAACGCAAATTTTAATTTTTTTTTTTTTTTTTTTTTTTTTTTTTTTTTTTTTGATTGTTCAAATTGGTCGTGTGGTTTTTCCTAAGTGTAATGCATATAACTCTTTTGACATATCGATTAATACCGGATAAAGAGTTTACCGAATAGAGTTTGCTAAAAAAAAAAAAATGGGTCGAATTGTTTAAAGAAGAAAAATGATGTTCAGGAGAAAAAAAATAAAAGGGATTAAACTTAATTATTGCCGGCTAAAAAAACTAATTACAGATCAAAAAAGACATATATATATTACAATAAATTGGAGATGATGACTTTAGAGTCTTTGTTCGTTTTTTTGTACAATGATTTAACCCATTATGCTAACGTAATTTGTCATCCCAATGGAATTGTTTATGTTATCTATCCTACCACTTTTCATATGATGATGTGAAGAAGATTGAGGTAAAGAGATAACAGATGGCATCATGGAATGGATTGGAGGTAAATGAACAGGTTCTTGAAACATTGATCTAACTGATGGTAAGTTGTTCATTGAAGAATGATAAACAAGAGCTGATGATGATGATGATGTTATAGGTGTGGGAGTTGGTGTAGACATACATCTAACACGTTTTGATTGAGGTTCAATATTGGAACAAGATGTTTGTGGCTGAGGTGGAGGAGTGTGAATACCAGACTTCGAACCACGTCGACTTTTTGAAGATAAATGTGTCCTGTAATGTTGCATCATATTATCTTGGCGGGAGAATTTTGATGTGCAACCTGGCATTAAGCAAGGGAAATTTTTTTCACCCGTGTGTATTCTATTGTGACGAGCAAGATGACCGCTATGAAAAGATAAAATATTGATTAATGATGATGATAATATACAATAATATAAAATACAATAAATATATATATATATATATATTATAGTATATAATATATATACTATTCTTATATATTATAATAATGTAATATATTATAATGTATTAAGGAGACCAACCTTGTAGTAAAGCTTTTACCACAATCAGGATGTTGACAAATATATTTACGTTTATTTACTGTGGTAGTATTTGTGAGAGAGGGATTTGAAGATGTGCGTTGTCTTTGTGGAGAGTGTATATGAGAGGTCAAACCATCATCAGAACATCCACAACTAGAGACAGAAGAAAACACCGATTCGTCGTCAGAAAACAAGGAAGTTGGAGATAAGGTCGACTCTTCTTCATCGTTCAGCAAACTAACCATGGCACCATCTGATTTCTTAACAACCAAGGTTGAAGAACTACGTCTCTTATAAGGACGATGATGACGAGGTGGTGTTAACGGAGGAGTATTAGGACCTGTGATAATTGGTCGTTTGAAAGAACTTTTCTTTTGTGAATCTTGTAAAGATTGAATTTGTTGTGGTTGTGAATTAGGAGGTGAATTATGATTTTGGGATCGTGACGGTGATCGAAAAAGTGACATAGGATGCGGATTCTCGGACAACATGCTATCGTCGAATGTCGACCTTTGTTGAGGGTGATAATCTTGTACTTGAGGGAAGTACGAATATCGTTGCGGTTGAGAATAATTATTATTACTATTATTATTATTATTATTGTTGTAATTATCTAAATTGTTGTTATTTAAATTGTTTAAGTTGTTTAAATGAAGGCCAAAATGCGACGATGGCATCCGAGACTGATAACATTGTCGTGATTCCTGTTCAAAGAAATTTTCCCGTAATTGTTCTCGTTGAGCGTATCTCTGCTGTTGTTGGTGAGGATGATGATGATGATGATGATGATTAAAAGTAGAAACCTCTACAGGGTAATAATAATCGTTGTTGCCGTGTTCCATGATGGTGTAAAGTCAACGAAGAATAATCTATCGTTTAATTGATTTTTGATTTTTTTTTTTTTTTGAATGGAAAAAGTTCGAGGACAAACACCCACTATTTATACACAATTCACAAAGGAGGTTCGTGCAACATAAATTTTTTTAGAATAACCAATATGATGTAAACAACATGGTGTAAAAATCATATGAATACGAACCTTTTCGAGCGAAGATTTCGAAGAAAAAAGGAGATCGACAGTGGGGGAATCGGAATCTTAAACAGGCTGATGATTTTCGTGAGGATAGTATAAACAAACTGAAAGAATAACGAACCCTTTTTTATCAATTTACTTGAAAAAAAGACCCCGGATTATCAAATATGATTAAATATTGACGGGAAGAAAGTTTGTGAGAAAAAAAAAATAGTTGTTAACCCCCGGGGTAAACAAGTGTTGTATGTAATCACTATTGTTTAAGAATCGAGGATCCAAGCAGGTTAATTTAAGAATGGAAATTTGTGATGTAATTTTCGTTTATGGTAAATCAAATATCGTGCGGAATGTCGAGAATCTCTCGACAGTGCGAAAAAAATATTATCTATCTATTTAGAAAAAAGAAAAAGTATATCGTCGCTAAGATTTTTTTTTTTATCTTTCCTTCACAAGTTTTTTTTATCAAGAGAAAAAAAATACAGAATAAAGAAGCACACCAGTTTAATAAGATTTTTTTTATTTTTATTTGTTTTTAAAAAAAAAGATTCGAAAGGGTCAAAGATAATTTTTTTTCTTCAACCTTTCAGGTCTTTCAGGTGCTAGTGTGAGGGAAAACAAACCGTTTAGTCCTTTATTTTATATAAAACTGTCAATAGTTCAGCAATAGTTCAGGAACACAACATAAATTATAAAATGTCGATTCAATTTTTAACTAAAGAAATTTTGTTTGTTAAAGTATTCGTTTAGTACGTGTGTGTATGTGATAGAAAAGAAAGGTAAAAAAAGAATCACTCTTAAATCAGGAATGTTGATATCAGAAAAAAAACCCTAATAATAATAATAATAATAAATAATATAAATTCATAAATATAAATTCATAATATAAAAAGCATATAAATTACAATTACAATTGAGAATATTCGGAAAACGGCAGTAAGGGATTACTTTATTTTTAGAATACATATATATACATATATACATAATATATAAATATATATGAAAAATATATGAATATTCGTGTATTCGATTTTATTACAATTGACCCCCAAGCTAAATTTCATGTCACACACACATGAAAATAGTTAAAAGATTTACATTTCCGCTACATCTTATTCATTCTTTTTTTGTTTTAAAATATTTCCCTGTAATTTTTAAAATAAAATGATAATGTAATAATCTTATATAAGATTAATTTTTTTGCTTATATGATATTTTTATCCGGTCACTTAAGCAAAGCAAAGCAAAGCAGATGTAAAATGTAAAATGTAAAATGTAAAATTTTTTCATCATATTATTATTAATTAAATAATTAATGATCCGATTTATTGTGTACACACAAGCATTTTCGTCGTCTTAATATTATAATACCGATAATTAAATAAAAATTATATAGTAGACGATGATAAATATATATGATAAAATATACATACAAGAAAATGTACAGTGTAAATATATATATATATATATATATATATATGTATATGTATATGTAAATATACATGAAAATATATATGAAAATATATGAGAATGTATAAAAAGATTTAGAAAGAAAATGAAACTATAAGATAAAAATTGTATGAAAGTATATGAAGATGAAGATACATAAAAATATATGAAGATACATGAAAATATATGAAGATATATGAAAATATATGAAGATATATATGAAAATATATGGATGATAAAGTAAAAAAAAAATTGTTACGCACTGACGTTTAAATGGAATGACAGGGACTTCTCCACACAAAAAAGGAGAGGTTTATTTTTTCTTCGGCGAGTATTTCCATTTTCTAAAGAGATTGCCGGTAAATCTCGCGTACAAGGTTCAATCATTTTACACCAATAAAATTACGTACAATAGAACCATCAAATGATCCTCTCGTGATCATTAATCTATATCACTTATGTACCCGCTTTGACCCTCTTGACCCTCTTGACCCTCTTGACCCTCTTTGACCTTCTTAAATTTTATCATAAATTGAAACCCTTCGGACTTTTACATAAGCAGAGTTAAGTTTGTTTCACCTTCGTTTAAGAGAATTTCGTATATCTGATATGTAAACTCGTTCTTTTAAATAAGGAACAATACATCATCGAAACATTCTTTTTTTTTCATATGTAAATAAAGTATTATGTTATCATTTCTTAATGTAAACTAATACATTTATGATTATATTAAGCGTAAATGATTCTACTTTTTTAACCCGGATTGTCTACCAGAAATCCCGCCTAAAATCTTCATTGTGTGTGAAAACCCTGTTTGATGTGATTGGTGATGATTAGTGATGTTTCGTGACGTGACTTATGATGAATTATTAATCATTATTACTATTAATTGCTGTTACGTATATCGTTTACGTTATCGTATACGTATTACTGTATATTACTATATGGGGGTGAGTCAATAGAAATCAAGCAAATTGTTTTTATTAAAATTTTTTTAAAATTTTATATACCAATAACTTAACCAAAACTTGATCAAATTTAATAAAATTTTTTTTAAACAAATTCTATAAGTTTGTAGAATTTATTTAAAAAAAATTTTATTAAATTTGATTAAGATTTTGTTGAGTTATTATTGTTTAAAGTTTTAAAAAAATTTACTTAGAAAAAATTTGCTTGATTTCTATTGACTCAACCCCATATATTACTTTATTATCATTATTATCATTAATAATAATATGTAATTATTATTATGTATTATTTAGGTTATTCAATTAATAATTAAAATATTAAAATATTAAAATCATATTAATTACAGTATTAAATATTAAGAATGATTTTTAAAATAATATTAAAAAATTTTTTTGAATGTCTAAACTAGAGGTGCAGGCGAATCGTCACGTAACTTTGCTGTAACTATCTCTGTAACTATAAAATAATTATAATAAGTTACGGCAAACATGCTGTAACTTATTATAATTATTTTATAGTTACAGAGATAGTTACGGCAAAGTTATGGCAATCATTGGGATGATTCGCCTGCACCTCTAGTCTAAACGAGTCATCTAATTAACCCGATTTCATTCAAAGTCGTTCAGAGTCGCTCTATTCGTCTGTCAATTTAAATAGTTTGTTAATTTCCATGTGAAACTTTGCTTCGAGCATTGTGCAATCTGATGATTAAATTATCTACATGTGCCTTGTTTTCCCGTATAATGATATTATGTATACCCGCGTTTTATACCAATACGTACGTATGTATGTATAAACGTATATTCAGGATTAAATCCTGTCCGAAAATTCGGTAATCCCATGTTATTCCATGCATGTCTCTGTCTTATTACTATTACTGTTTATTATGGTTGTTTATTAATTGTTGTTTATTACTGCTGTTTATTATGAATTTCTTATCTTTTTCCTTCGTTCAATTGCCAAATGCTTGTGATTCAAGTGATTCAAGTATTTTTCTGGATTTTGTGCTCATGATTAATTTTAATCTTTGTTTCATCAAAAATTACGTGCGTACATATATTCTTTTTTT